AAGCTTATTTTTTGTAAATAAAAAGCCTGACAATGTCACTGCTTAATACCTATAAGTATTGTGATTTATGTCTTTACTTGGATTTAATGAACTAGCTGCGTAACAAGAACATGACCAATTTAAATTTATAGGACAACTAAACTTATCAATTTAAACAAAAATGTACCGTCAACTACAGACGTTGCATCCATGGATTCCGCCATGTTTCTCATTGACACGTCCCCAACTCGGAAACTCGGGGCTTAAAGAAAATTTCGAGTTTCCCACTCGTAATAACGACTTTGTGGTGGCGTTCATGTGCGTTCAACTCGTAAATACGATCTATCCGACATGACTTGAACACACCAGAAGCTTTTAAAGAGGAATGGCTGAAGAACAAATTTTCTTGTAAATAGAAATGTATCTTCCCTCTATCAAACCACCTGTCTGATTGCCATGTATATGGAAAAAATTTCCAAATTGTTGAATTTTACCAATTTTTAATGGCTGAAAACAAATGTGGGTCACTTTGTATAAAGCTAATATTTTATGTATTTTAGGAAGATTGTCTGAAAAACAAATTGTGTTGAAACTACAAATGTTGCTCAGTTAAATATTCGTCCATGACATTTAAAATTTTTACTTTCTTCTTCACTTATGCATTTCTTTCACTAAAAAGTAAATTATCAATTTTTTTAGAGGAGACCTCTGGTCGTGTTGACACAGAACGACAGCAATCCGGGTTAAATTACATATTAATGGACATATGCAATCTGAAATTGTATTTTAACGTTAACAGTTACTCTTCCAGTTCCTCCTATGATAGTTGATAAGGTAACTAACCTGTTTGTGTCTCGATATCTTCATGTTTGACTCTGAATGCTTCTTCAATCCTCACATCTTCACTCTCCTCTTTAATAAGAGCCATTTTTATAATGCTGTGTCACATGGAGCTCAGTCGCATCTCCAGGAGTTTTTCCTGCGTGTTTAGACAATTTGTCATGTGTAAGATGAGAATAATTAACTGATAAAATCCCGGTCTCAATCAGCTCCCTATTCAGCGCACTGACAAGAGTCTATCAACGTGTTATTCAATGGTCCCGAATAGCCTAAAACACTCAAAACTGGAACTATAAATTAATGAAAGGGCACAAAATATAGAAACAGTTCATATTTACTTCAGACAAACTGATTCACGATAAAGGGAGCGAAACGAGACGCACCTTTTCTGTTACGTGTGGCTACGTTACGTTTGTACTCACAAAAATGAGGTACATTGAAAGCATTATAGTCCTACATTTAATAACAATTAATTCTATGAAACTGACAAAACGGTTATCATTGGATTAAACACTTTAAATCATTAAAAAAAAACATACCTTTGCGCAACCGAATCACAAATGCAGGATCGCGGCGCAGAGTTGTGACGTCACTATGGAGTCAAAATAATGCCACATATATATGCAAAATAATAACGTTTTGCAAAAGAAAATAAAGTTTTGCAAACGAAAATAAAGTTTTGCAAACGAAAATAAA